GGGGGGTCAGGAGGGCCCGGGAGCTGGCCAGGCCAGGAGTTGGTGCAAGCCTCTATCATTTTACAGAAGGACTCCAGAAATGGATGGTGCAGCATGGTGGGGACGGCTGGGTAGTGGAACAAAACATGTTAACGGTGCCCGGGGCCCCTTCGCAGACCTGTTTCGTGTCTTCCTTCAGGTGAATGCCCCTTACCCTCCAAGGGCCCTGGCCAGGTGAGGAGGGCCTCCCTGTACTCACTCTTGTTCTCCCTCATTCCTAGCTGGTGTCGCAAGAAGCAGGTCTTGGACCTGGAGGAGGAGGGTCTGTGGCCAGAACTACTGGACAGTGGCAAGATTGAGATTTGTGTCTCTGATTGGTGAGTGTGCTGGTCAAAACAACCCTTTATGAAGCACTGACCGCCTGCACTGTCACCTCGGCATTAGACCTCATGACAACTCCGTACAGATAAACTGAAGTGCAGGGGGTGCACGACTTGACCATGATCATAGCTTGAGTCATTAACGGAGTCCACACCCCAAACCCCTCTTCTTACTCACCCACCCCCACCCCCAATCTGGAAGATGCCAGATTGAATTGAACACAGAGGCCTTGGGTCCTGTTCAGTCTTGTCTTAAGTGAGATGCTTCTTGCTTTAGGAAAAGGCAGTATGAGATCAGATTCTGAGTCCAGACCTCCAGGGTTCAAGTCCTGATTCTGCAATTTTGTGATCTTGAACAAATCAGGTGGGGCTTGCCAAGCCCAGAGCCAGTACTTTATTGACTGTGAGCTGTCTCAGTACAGCTGTCTCATGGTGAACCTAGAACCTGTGGGAAAACATATTTCAAAACCTCAAGACTTTCAAAGTGTCACAGGAAATTGAGAGGTTCAGAAAGTGGGGAGGTGTCACTGGCGGGGTGACGGGGTTCACACAACTAGGGCTTGACAAGGAACTGACATTAGGCTCTGACATGCATGCCTCCAGAACTTGAACTCTAGTGATAGTCTCAAAACTGGGCTTCACACAGATATTACACAACCCAGATAGTTTTTTTTTTAGTAATATAATAGCTTATTTTTACATCATTTGTGCCTTTTTCCATCTCAGTTGTAATCCCTGTGGGCTTCCCATCACCAAATCACCCGTGTGCCATCACCATAGACCCGAGCACTCCCCCACCATTTTTTACCCCATTCCCCATAACATGTCTCTGGTATACAGTTGTTCATTATTATTGTCCACCCCCCCCCCAGTCCTTTATTCTCCAGCTATGAGTGCAACCCACAAAGTTTTAAGGAAGTTATATGTTCCTGTTCCAAAATTAATCTGATACAGTTGATATCTATGGTGGGAGCATCAGACGGTCTCCTTTCCTGGCTCTTCCTCAGTCTTCTAGCATAGAAAGAAGAAAAGAAAGAAAGAAAGAAAGGAAGGAAGGAAGGAAGGAGGGAGGGAGGGAGGGAGGGAGGGAGGGAGGGAGAGAAGGAAGGAAGGAAGGAAGGAAGGAAGGAAGGAAGGCCCCTCTTGGTGGTGTGTGGTCCCTGGATATAGACTATTAGAGACAGGGAAGTGGCCATCTGAAATCCCCAAGGTCCCCTGACCACCTCCCCTTCCTTGTCCATCTCGTTAAGAGACAAATTTGCAGGAAAGCATTTTTAGTCACTTATCAAGCTATCGTGATGCTGGTGTCGTCTGGATCAGTGGTAGACCATTTGACTGCAATAATGTGCCAATGTTTGCTGCATATTACCCACATATTTAAAACACTCACTGTCCATCCAGATCAATTAAACCAGTGCCTCTGGAGCAATCAGCCCTCTAGTATTTTGAGAAGCTGAGAGCTGACTACAATTAGAGGGCACACTCTCCAAGACTGCCTTCACTTCTGAGACCATGTGCAAACTTGGGGAAACCCCAAACTCCCCTCAGTTTCACAGAAGTCACTGTAGACCATTATCCGTCTCTAGTTTATTCCAGGGGAAGAAACACATAGGGCAGCGAGCGAGGGACGTACCAAACATGGAGCCTCCACTATCCTTTCCTCGTGGAATCAGGGCCAGTGACTTTCCTGGCATCTGTGTGTGACAATGACATGGCGGAATGCCAACCAGGAAACCAACCTGAGCTTCAGTGTTCAGAGTTCCCACTGGGTTAATCTCAACACCCAGGTCTACACATGCTCAATCATGTGGTGGGCTTCTCTGGGGCAGGTAGCTCCTGTCATAGAGTCCATCTATGTGTGTGACCAGCCCCCTCGACTCACAGCGGCAGAGCGTACAGTATGAACCAAGGTCGCCAGGCAAACAAAGATAGATGTTCTTGGCAAGCACAGCATCCCAAGTACCCAGAAATTACTTCCCAGAAGCTGAGAGCAAGAAGCATACAGTTCAGCGAGGCTAAATTCTTTTCTACACAGTATCTTTAAAACATTTTAAGATGATTCCAATCTATAGCAAAGCCGGAACCATTAAGTGGGTAATAATAATTGAATCCTAAAGAAGAAATGTTCACATTTAGATCTTTATGGTCACAGGAAAAATCTTAAGTTTCTATTTATATTCTGTGTGTGTGTGGGGTTGGCACAGAGCAGTATGGAAGGGTAATCAATAAGTCTTCTGAACATAAAAATATATTAATATTACATTAGGACAGTTCTGTGGGAGAAGCAGAATGGGCAGCTAAATCTAAGAGGTGGAATGATGTGAAGACTTTATGAAGATTAATTGTGCTTCTGTAGCCCACCACTTTTTAAATTTTTAAAAAATTTATTTTTGTGTAGAGCTGGTGTGTAGGCCAGAGGTGCAGGAGGTGAGAGGATTCACCAGAGACAGAATGGGGAGCAGACCAGGTGGAATGACTAAAATACACTGTTGAGGGGAGCAGCGGGCGGGTCAGGAGAGGGCTATACAGCCCACCACTCTAAAGTTTTTAGATCTTAACTTAGAACATCAAAAGTGTATCAGTCTTAGGCATGGCACTCAATGAATTATCAATAAAATGTGCTCATAAAGTGAATACATTTGTATTCCTAGCACTTTAGTCATAAACAGAATAGAATGTTCCAGCAACCCTACCACCCAGTATCTCTCATGCCCTTTTTCCATCACTTCCCACCTCAGGGTAGCCTGAATTCAGAATCCTGAATTCTGTTTCCATAGGTAAGTTTTGCCCATTTTTCTTCTATATATTTATGCAGTTATACATTTTGTATCTTCTTTCAATGACATCCATCTGTAGCAGTTGTATGTAGCCCAATTAATTTAATTTCATTGCTGTATAGTATTCCATTCTGGGGACATGCTATAATTTAATAATGATGGGAGCAAATGCTGGGTGTTCCATCGACAGTCATGGATTCCCCAATCCTAGTAAGTGACTGATAGGAAAATTTTACTATTATTTTGTATTGAAGTGACAATTCATTGTAAGTTTCAGGTGTGCATCACTGAAAATCAGTTTGTGTAAACACAACATGAATTTCACCTCTAAAGGTCCAGTCTATCCTTCACCATGTCCCCCTTGTCCCAGTGTCCCCTTCTTAGTAACCACTAATTGGTCTTGTAATCTAAAATTTTGTCTTACTTAGTTCATCTGTTTGTTTTCCCTGGATACCAAAAATGAGTGAAATTGAAAACTGTATTTTAAAATATCAACATTCTACATCTTGGACCTTACATCTTTTGCAACCTTTTAAACACTGAATGAGAAATTTTAATTGTCACTTCAATGATATGGGAGGATGACCTGAAGGCCAGTGCTCAAGGTCAGTGCTCCTACAGGAAGGTGATCAGACCTGCCGGGGACCTGTCGGAGGTGGATTCTGACTCCTGGCTCTGCAGTGGAGCCGGCTCCCAGCTGACACAGGCGTCCAGTCCAAGGGCCACACTTGGGATTCACATAGAGAGGGAAGCCCTCTGGGTGGGGCAGGCAGGCCCCAAAGAGCTGGGTGACAGGTGCAGTCTTCAAGGCCTCCTCCTCCCATAGGTGGGGAGCCCGGCACGACAGTGGCTGCATGTATCGACTCCTTGTCCAACTTCTAGATGCCAACCAGACCGTCCTGGACAAATTCTCAGCTATGCCTGATCCCATCCAGCAGTGGAACAACCATGTTTACCTCCAGGTGAGTCTCTTGACAGGGGCATGAGAAAGGACGGGAGGGGCCTGTGATGGTTACCTGAACAGATAGTCACCCCAGAACTTAAGTGACTTCATGGCTTTTGTCAACAACGGTCTTTTTACAGCCCACCCACGTGGTTTTTGCGAATAGGGCCACTTGCTGTCTCCCCAATAGTCGTATTCAGACAGAGGATGAAACTGCGGTGTGCATGTGTGTAGCAGCTGTTGGCTGGCCGAGTCTCTTCCTTCGAGTCGGAGCTGACATGGCTGCCTCGGCCAGCGTGGGCTTCCTCACAACATGGCGGCTCTGGGTAGTGAGACTGCTCATGTGTTGGGGCCACTGTGCGGATTCTAGAGAAACTTTACTTCCTAGCCTTAGAAATCATTTGGCAAGTAAGTCACTCCACCTCCTTCCCACCACACTCTGGGATACAGGTAAATCCCCCCAGGCTCAAGAAATGGGATTAGACTTGTGGAGTGGCATGACTCTAGAAGAAAACACGGATCTCGAGCTAGCGCAGCATTCACCGAAATCCCCGCCGGCCAGAAGGCCCCGCCTCCGCGTTGAGGGGCAGGTCGTGTCCCAAGGGAGCTGACTCCCCTCTGCTTGCAGGTCTCCTACGTGTTCTCCAATATCAAGACAGGCGTCCGCTTTGTGTCTTTTGAGCACTGGGGCCAGGACACGCAGTTCTGGGCTGGCCACTATGGAGCCCGTGTGACCAACTCCAGCGTGATTGTGCGGGTCCGTCCGTCCTCGTGTGCAGACAACCTGACGTGCCTTCCGGAAGATGGGACCGTTGGCTGCACGTCTCCCTCACCAAAGGCTCCCTGGCGTCCTAGGAAGTCCTAGGTCCAGTCCAAGGTCCTGCTGGGCCCTTCGTCCAGGTTCCAGAAGCTTCCAGAAGAAAGTTCTTCCATCAGATCTACCTACTGCTGCTCGAGGGAGACCCACAGGGGGACTCAGTGGGACACTGGTGCCCCAGAAGACGCCTAGCCCTCCCCTCGGAGGCCCCGTGATTCAGCCCGAGTCACTCAGCCCGCGTCCGCTCTCTGCTTCGGCGGCCTTACTGGTCACTTCAGGGAAGCCCCCTTCCCTCTCTAAACTGGAATCTCTCCCTGTGGTCGATGGTCTCAGCCACCTTAGCTGGTCACCTTAACCTCAGGAGCCAGGACCAGCTCTGATAGCTGCACGTCTGCTAACTCAAAAAATGTTTGCAAATAGACACTTCTACCCATTCTGACGTCTATGAAAAATGAGGTCAGCCCCCCGCCCCCGCCGCCGAGCACAGCCCTCACCTTCAAGGGTCCCCATAATTGTGTGGTATGTAAAATTATATTTTATATTTTGAATTTTTTTCAAACCTTGAGAGAATAATATATCAGCTGCATTTATCTGCCAATCACATATAATAAATGTATTCTTTTGCAAAAATTGCTTCTGATTTTTTTTTTTAAGATTTACTTATTTCTGCATACAGAACTGGGGTATAGGCCAAAGGTGCAGGGGCAGTGAGAGGATTCACCAGAGGCAGAGTGGGGAGCACTTGGTCATGAAATACACTGCTGAGGGGGGCAGTGGGCACGGTCAGAGAGGTCTGCCACGCCACGCGGGTCACTTCCAGGGGCTGAGGATTGAACTCATGCTGAAGCAGCTGTGACCAGTTTCCAGCACTGAGCTTTAACCCACTGTGCCACCAGGAAAGGCCCTGATCCTTTAAAAAAAAATAAATTTATATTTACTTATTTATGCATACAAGAACTGGGGTGTAGGCCAGAGGCTTGGGGGTAATAAGATTCACCAAAGAGAGAGTGGAAAGCAGAACAGGCAGAGACACACACACTGTGGTATTGTATATATATCAGGGAGAGGGAAAAATGCCACACCCCGTGTTTCTCCTTTACTGTCACACCATTGTCACACTCATGAAACCGTGGCACCAGATATGTGGGCGTCTTCTCCCCCAAGCCATGCTCTGATGCTTCCTGCACCTCCCACAATTGAACTCAGATCTGACACTATCTGCCGGGAGACACCAGACCCCAGTGTGAGGGTTCAGCCCCAGGAGACTGGGCCTAGCTCACCAGAGACGCCAGTCATCAGCCCTTCCCCACAGCTTTGTTGACTATGGATCAGAGGTCCCCACAATGTCTGAATCTGATTATCTGCCAGAGTAGAAATTAGTTACACCTACTAGTTAATTAGAGGCTATGATAAAGGATACAGGTGAGCAGACACATGAAGATAGACACTGGGGGGTGTCTGTGGAGTTGGGGTGTCCCCTTTCGGAGTCGATGGTTTCATTGATGTTTAGAAACTGAGGTGAAAGGGTTAAACTGTTCTCAGATCTTAGAACACAAAAGGAAAAAACCTTCGCTCTGAAGCTTGATGTCATAAATAGCGCCTGGAAACTTACTGGCAAATGCCCACCCTGAGAAGGTGGAGACTTACCTCTGAGCTGATCCCCAGCTGGTCAGTGCAGAGCTGGGGAGCCTCTCAGAGGCAAGGGCCCACCACCTGAAACTTAAAATTCCAGCTCTCTGAAGAAAAACCTTCTCCAGACTTTAGATTTCCATCGTGCAGATGTCCAGTCTCCAACTCGCCAGCAAATTTCAGCCAAGTGCTTATTTCTTTGTCTCTAACCCACTGCTCAGCCAATGAAATTTTACTCCTTTGTTCTCCCACCCCATTCCCCAGACCCAGATGAGTCCTTTCCCCTACCTAGATAAGGAAGCAGATTGGAATTTCCTTCTCCTACTTCCTGGCTTTTCAACTTGCAGTCAATTTCCTTCTCACAAAGCCTGGAGTCCTGATTGGCTTGCACACTCCAGGTGAGGCTCTTAGGAGTCATGCTTCCTCATGGAGGTGTGATCAATCCCTAACCCGGCGGCCCCTCTTCTCTCTCTGGAGAGTGGGGTGAAAATTCTAAGCTTGGTCTTTCTAGTTCCCAGCCCCTATCCAGGAGCCCAAAGGTTTAGGAGCGCTGTGCCAGGGACTCAGGGCAGAAATCAGTGGATTTTTTTTTTTCTTTTTAAAGATTTATTCATGCAAACAAGAGTTGGGGTGTAGGCTAGGGGTGCAGAGAGTTGAGAGAATTCACCAGAGACAGAGTGGGGAGCAGAACAGGTGGCTCTACTGAAATCCACTGCTGAGGGGAGCCACGGGGAGGCAGGAGAGGTCTGCTGCGCCCTGTGGGTCACTCCCTGGCTGGGGATTGAACTCCTGTGGCAGTGGCTGCCAATTCCTTTATAGTGCTGACTTAACCCCTTGTACTACCAGGGATTTTCTATTATAAACATGCATGTAGATGTATATATGGGTCTATATATGTATATGTGTATAAAATTATCTCACTGCCTTACAACACATTTACATGCATAAGAATTTGAACCAAAGTGACAGGGTTTCTGTAGCAGTCTCTGGGTAGGGGTACAGATGGCGGCTGAGAGTAGAAGATTGAGGATACATCATCGCAAGACAAGAATGATGTCAGATCCTTACGCTACACTATTTGCAAAAACTAACTCAAAAGGGATCAAAGCTGTAAGTATGAGAGCCACAACTATAAAATTTTTAGCAGAAAATACAAGCGTATGGGCCCTCCCTGGTGATGCAAAGGGTTAAAACACAGCACTAGGAATCTATCTGCAACCCCATAGCACCAGCTCAATCCTCGGCCAGGGAGCTGACCCACAGGGCACGGCAGACCTCTCCTGACTGCTCCCCTCAGCAGTGTGTTTCAGTGGATCCACCTGTTCTGCTCCCCACTCTGTATCTAGTGAATCCTCTCACCCCCTGAACCTCTGACCTGTACCCCAGTTCTTGTATGCATTCATAAATGTCTTTAAAAAAAAGAAAGAAAGAAAACACAAAGTATATCTTACGACCTTGCATGCGGCCATCAAATTCTCCCCCTTTCCCTCCAACCTCCATTTCCCCTTTGGTGTCTGAATTCAGCAAACACTTTGCAAGAGTTTGTTTTCCTCCACTCCTTTGCTTTGCTTCTTTATATTCCACACATGAGTGAAATCATCTGGTATTTGTCTTTCTCCTTATGGCTTATTTTGTGTAACATTATTCCCTCCAGTTCCATCCATGCGTAGCGAACAACAAGATTTCATCTCCTTTTATAACCGAGGTATTCTGCGGTGTGCAATACGCTGCATTCTTGATCCACTCACCTGTCACTGAGCACTTAGGTTGTTCCCACGGCTTGGCTGTGGTAAGTAGCGCCGCACAGACCACAGTGCATGTAGCCCTTAGAATCAGCGTCTTTGTATTTTTGCGTGGAAACCTTAGAAGTGAGATTGCTCGCCCGTAGGGTAGATCTATTTTTACTGTCCTGAGAACCCTCCACACACTTTTCCATAAGAAGCAAGGGGCTCCTTTCTCTCCAGGCTTTTTGATATGAGCCATTATTATGGGTGTGAGGTAGTATCTCATTGTGGTTTTGGTATGCATTTTCCAGATAAGTGATGGTGAGCATCACTGTGCTCCCATCACTGTGGCCATTTCTGTCTTTTTAAAAAAACAAACTTATTTATGCAGGCTAGAGGTACAGGGAGGTGAGAGGACTCACCAGAGACAGAGATGGGAGGAAAACAGGCGAATCTACTGAAACACTCTGCTGAGGGGAGCAGCAGGTGGATCAGGAGAGGTCTCCTGCGCCATGTGGGTCACCTCCCTGGCCGGGGATCGAACTTGTGCTGTCATGGTTGTCAATAGCTTCTTAGTGCTGAGTCTTTAACCCCTGTGCCACCAGGGAGGTCCCATTTGTATATCTTTTTTTCAGAGAACTATTTAGTTCTGTCCATTTTTTGGATTGACAGCTCCATTGTTAAATAGGCAAATAACTTGAACAGACATTTCTCCAAAGAAGATATAAGATAAACATACGAAAATGTGTTCACCATCATTAATCAATCATTAGAGAAATGCAAATCAAAACCATGATGAGCTAGCACTTCACTCCCACTAGTATGACAATAAGCCAAAGCAGGAAAAATAACAAATGTTGATTATGCGGGAAATTGGAACCCTCACAAATTGCAGGTGGAAATGTAAAATAGTATAGCTGGTATGGAAAACAGTTTGGCAGTCTTCAGAAAATGAAACATAGAATTACCATATGACCCAGCTCTTCCTCTCCTACATAACACCCAAGAGAACTGAAAACTGGTGTTCAGACAAAAATTTGAATGTGAATGTCTGTAGTAGCATTATTCACAATAATCAAAAGGTGAAAATAAACCAAATGTCCACCAACTGATGAATGGATAATCAAAGTGAGATAAGTCTAGTGTGGAATGTTGCTAACCCTCTGAGGGGTGCGCTGACCACTACGCTCACCTGAACATAGGAGACTCAGAACCACGAGAGAAAAAAGCAGGAGCCTGAGGTCTGGAGTCCGGAGTCTGTTTATTAGGGCTACCCATGGGTATATATAGGGTCTGGACGTGCAGGAAAAACAGGAAATGTGCCCGAAGCAGGGAGTGGGGTGCATGTTTGTACCGGGCCTGAGGCTTCTTGTAGCTTCTACCTGAAACAAAGTAGTGGGCTGCAGCTATTTGCAGGACAGGACAGAGTGCACTGTGCTCTGCTGACTTGTTTACTGGCTTACTGGGGAGTGTGCTCACCCATGCACAACATTAGCCAGGGCGGACAGGTGCACTTGAGATCCTGTCGAGTTAGTCGCAGTGGAATATTACTGAGCCATAAAAAAGAACAGGTGGGAAAATTAGGCACCAATCCATGCTATAATGTAAATGAACCTTGTAAACATTATATTCAATGAAATTTGAAAGCTACATATTGTATGATTCCATTTCTGTGAAATGCCCCAAATAAGAAAAATCCATAGTCAAAAAATAAATAAATAAGATAGCTGGGGAAGGGGAAATGAGGACTTGTTGCTCACAAGTACCATTGAAGGGGTGATGTCTGGGATTAGATATGGGGATGGCGGCACGACATTGTGAATGCACTAAATTTAGTGCATATTTTTAAGTGACTAAAATGGTGAATTATACACTACATGGAATTTGCCACATAAAACATACCCTTAGGTGGCCCCCCCTGGTGGCACAGCGGGTTAAAGCACAGCACTAAGAAGCTTAAGCCACTTCTGCATGAGTTCAATTCCTGCCTGCCCCGGAGGTGACCGCATGTTGC